AGCCAAAAGATGGAAACAACCTAGGTGCTCATCAACAGAAGAATGGATAACCAAACTATGGTATGTACACACAATGGAATACTATGCAACACTGAATAATGTAGAATCTGCAAAACACCGCATAACATGGATGAACTTGGAGGACATTATGCTAAGTAAAATTAGTCAATCACAGAAGCACAAAATACAGTATTAATTCATTATTGTAAAAAGTCAAGGAAAAGGTTTATATATGGAAGGTAACTTTCTTTGTTGGTTACCAGGGGTGGGAGGGGACGGAAAAGAAGGGAACACTGTTAAAAAAAAAAACAACAAAACACTGACCCATGTCACTTTAGTTTTGTGTATTTCACTGGACATAAATTATATTTCAATAAAGTGCACTTAAATAAATTAAAAACAAAGCTGAACAGAAGATTTCAAATAACAGCTCAAGGAGACAGTCAATTATTAATATGAAATGTGCAAAGGCCTGGAGTTAGAAAAGCAAAAGGGAAGAACACTCTCAGAATTTCTCAAGCTGAAAGAATTAAAGAAAACATTTAAGCCTTGAGTTGCAATATTTAATGATTCTACAGGCAAAATATTGAATGATGCAGGAAGCATCAAAAGAAAATGGAAGGAATACACAGAATCACTGTATCAAAAATAATTGTTCGATGTTCATCCATTTCAGGATGTGGCATAAGATCAAGAACCAGTGGTACTGAAAGAAGTTGAAGCTGCACTGAAGGAACTGGTGAAGAACAAGGCTCCAAGAATTGACAGAATACCCATAGGGATGTTTCAACAAACAGATGACATGCTGGAGGCACTCACTTGGCTATGCCAAGAGATTTGGAAGATAGCTACCTGGCCAACTGACTGGAAGAGATTCATATTTGAACCCATTCCAAAGAAAGGTGATCCCATAGAATGTGTAAATTATTGAACTGTATCATTAGTATCACATGCAAGTAAAATTTTACTGAAGATAATTAAAAAACAGTTGCAGCAATATATTGACAGAAAGCTTCCAGAAATACAAGCTGGATTCAGAAGAGGACATGGAACGAGGGATATCATTGCTGATGTCAGATGGATCTTAGCTGAAAGCAAAGAATACCAGAAAGATGTTTACACAAGTATTCAATTGTGTGGATCATAACAAACTATGGATAAAATTGAAAAGAATGGGATTTCCCGAACACTTGATTGTGTTCATAAGGAACCTGTACATAGACCAGGAGGCTGTCGTTAGAATAGAACTAGGGGTACTGCATGGTTCAAAAACAAGAAGGGAGTGTGTAGAGGTTGTGTCCTTTCATCACACTCATTTAATCAGTATGCTGAGTAAATAACTGGAGAAGCTGAATTATATGAAGAAAGCTGTGGCCTCAGGATTGGAAGAAGTTTCAATAACAACCTGAGACAGGTAGATGACACAACTTTGCTTGCTGAAAGTGAGGATGACTTGAAGCAGTTACTGATGAAGATTAGACTACTGTCTGCAGTATGGATTACACCTCAGTATAAAGAAAACAAAAATCCTCATAACTGGTCTAATAAAAGCTTCACAATAAATGGTAAAAGATTGAAGGTGTCAAGCACTTCATATTACTTGGTTCTACAATCAACATCAATGGAAGCAGCAGTCAAGACATCAGACAACGTACTGCATTGGGCAAATCTGCTGCAAAAACCTCTTACAAGTGATGAAGTGCAAAGATGTCTCCTTGAAGACTAAGGTGTGCCTAACCCAATCTATGGTATTTTCAATCACCTCTTACGCATGTGAGAGCTGGACAAGGAATAAGGAGGACTGAAGAAGAGTTGATGCTTTTGAGGTGTGCTGGCAAAGAATGCTGAGGGTACCATGGACTGCTAAAAGAGCTAACAATCTGTCCTGGAAGAAGTGCAGCCATAATGTTCCTTGGAAGCGAGAATGGCCAGACTTCTTACTTTGGCCATGTTCTCAGAAGGGACCATTCCCTGGAGAAGGGTATCATGCTCAGTAAAGTTGAGGGTCAACAAAAGGGAAAGGCCCTCAACTAGATGGAATGACACAGTGGCTCCAACAATGGGCTCAGGTATAGGGAGGATTGTGAGGTTGGTGCAGGACCAGGTTGTTTTCATAGGAAATGACTGGGTAGGATCTTTGTGAGTTGCAATCAACTCGACGGCACCTAATAACATACATACGTACACACACACACACACACACACACAAATTACACTTACTCCTGTTCCACTACATACAATTTTGCTCAATCTTATTTCTTGGATACATCTATCTGGGGATTTATCCCAAGGCTTTGTTTATGGTGTTGCTTTTTTTTCAAGTGTTTAGTAACTATTGTTGTTCTCATCTTAGCATGAGCCTAAGAATGTTAGTTGTTTTATTGCAAACAACCTGGAGTAATAATGGGGGAGGACATGCAACTAGGCAGGCCATGCTAGCCCAAAAGCTCTGTGCTTGATCAGAGCATCCACACTCATTGTTCCTGCTTGACCCAGGTTCTCTCTGCTGCCCACTGCATAGCAACCTACACAAAATCCTAAACATCATCAGGAGCTCCATCTTGATCCTTTAAAATCCACCCTTGAGATATCCCTGAAGCCAAATCCACTTTTCGAGGTGGTATTCTCTAGCCTTTGATGAATTCTTCAAAACAGCATCCATTTCTTATTTACCACAGTTATCATTAAATATTTTTATTTATCTTAGTACTAAACTTTTCTGTCATTTCTAGGGATACAGAGAGCTTGAAACATGCTCCAGTGTAGAATTCTGTGAGAGTCAAGTCTACATTTGATTCTTCCTCTTAGGAGAGTGAATGCTCCTTTGAGTGATGCTGGAGTGAAGAGTGGAATAATGGGAAGATGTTTTAATATCCATTCTGGGAAGACATTTATTGTTACAGTATCAGTTTCTGTCTTTCATAAAGATGATGAGACTATCATCTACCCTAAACACGATGCTGCACATGAGGGATAATCTTGTTACTTTTTCTTCAATTTTTATTTATTTCTTTTTGGGTATACTGACAAGAAACACATGAAGAAGTATCCTTCTGGAGTGTGCCTTGGAGAACTATAATTTGGTTAAGAGTTAAGGAAGATCAGTTTAGGAAAATCAATATAAGCTTAATTTTTGCAGCTTACATTACCTATTTTATTGGTGATAAATGAGCTTCTTGTATTTCATCCTGAAATTAGATTAAGTATATTGAGAAGCTAGACAGGCCACATGCAATACAATAGGAGATCAAAACTGTCCCTGATTATTATACTGGAAAAGAATATAACAGCAGGATACTTTTCTAGCCTCTTTCCTAACAACCTTATAGAAAGGTTCAAATATAGTACTATTCTCTAAAATAACACCTAAGGGGATTCTACTCAGGAGTTTTCCTCAGAAGCAAGCAAGTTTTCTGTTTAGAATAGGCTTCTCAGGTGCTTGGATGTTAGGACATTATCGGAGACCTTAAATTTTAATTTTGCAAATTGCTTCATGATGAAAATTGCAGAGTTCTTGAAAGAAGACAGCAGTCTCTCAAGAATTTTCCACAGCTATGTTTGTAAATTCCACGAAGGTAAAGAAACAGCAGGTTTAGATGGTCAAACTTTCTGAAGTACCTACAGAACAAGGGGAATATCTAGAGATCAGAGCTGGCTGCTGATCTAACAGAGGTTACTTATCCAATTCTTGTTCACTACTGAATCAGTTGTGTTGATTAATGCTTTTGATGAATTTTAATTTAGATGTCTTTTCCATAAGAAACCTGTTTATAAACATTAAACGAAAAGGATATGTTAATAAAAATGTCAACAGAATGAATGAAAAATACCCTTCCATATAGATTTGAATGATTGGCAATCTCCAACAAACTGAAAAGCCTTTCCAATCTCAATGGATTCTGGCAGAAGTTCAAAACAATGATTCAAGGTAAACTACACTTCTTCCATACCCCCAAATTTGTGTTGTCATTAGGTGCTATAGAGTTTATTTTTACTTCATGTGACAGAGTAGAACTGCTCATAGGTTTCCAAAGCTGTGATCTTTATGAAAGCAGAGCACCAGATCTTTTTCCAGCTGAGACACTGGGTGGGTATGAATCATCAGCCTTTCAATTAGCAGCCAAACACTTAATCATTATGCAATCAGGACTACTTTACCCAAAAATGTGGGGGTTTAAGTGGTGAAATAAAATAGGTATATATCCTTCTATTTCTGAGACTTCCTCTCACCCTGAATTTCATAAATAAACCACACAACTTCAAACAGCATTAGTTTATTATCTATTCTCTATGTGCTACCTCAAACAATCTATATATATACAAAAATTTGCAGTGTTGAATAAATGCTGATCAGTAAAATGTTACATAGCTGCTAATGGGACCTTTTTTTTTTTTTTTAAGTACAAGAAATCAGTACTAAAATGTTTAATTCTGCTTATGTTCATGTTTATATTTGAAAGATTTTTTTTCAGTATATACACATTTTCAAGTCCAATCCAAAGAAATCGGATATGTATTAACAAAATAATTATGTGAAGAATTTTAGAATTTCATTGATTCAGATGAACTGATATTTGTGTAAATAATTCTGTATGGAATAAAATCTATGATCATATAATTTCTACTGGTTTAAAATTTTAGGGTAAGAAATTTTAAACATAATTACTAAAAATAAGACTGAAGATTTGCTCTACAAAACTTATTAAAATAAAGTCAGTTATCGGTATGGGCCTTCATACAAATAATATAACAGTAAATAAACTAAAAACATCTTTTTTTCCTAAACACATTTAAATTATTACTCTTCTACTAAATCAGAAACTTTATTATTATTACTATAATGAAAATTCTAATGAGTTCTTCCATGTAGAGAAAACTAATGTTCTTTAATTTTATTTATATTTTAGAAAAAATCTTAGGCTATTAATTTAGGTGGAAAACATTCTTGCTATCAGCTTTTCATCTCATATCACATATTATTCCTCTTATTAACTTATAGTCAATTTTATGTGTTGCAAGAACATTAAACATTTTTTTAAGTAACTGAAGTGAAGTAAACTATCAGTGCATGTAACACTTGTTGCATTTGTTAATATTTCAATATAATATTCAGACCATTAATTTAAGGTTAGATCATTAAAAAAATTCAATTGTTCTTTGGGGTTTATTTTCTTTTCCAAAATTATAGTCTGTGTATCTTAGTGAGTAGCTGAAAATAGCTGAAAACTTCACAATTATAACTGTTTTATGTATTCCCTATCAAAGGCAGAATGGGATTATGAAAATTGGTCAAAAATAGTAAAAAAGAATGTAATTTTACAGTAATATTTTTAGATAAACTAAGAATAAATGGAACAATGAGGCTTTGTCTTAAGCTGTCATTCTTTTCTTTAGAGATTTTAACACACACATAGTAAGTGAATTTTATCAAAATACGGCACACATCTTCTACTATATCCATAAAAGTCAATTCCTATGTAAATAGTACTGAAAACCAGCTAAAATGAGTTAAAATTTACAAAGAGTTTTTAAAGGGTTTCAATTGAAATTATTAAAATTATACAGTACAATAAGCAATTGATAACATGTTGAAAGAAGTGCAATATTTGAGTTCACATATTTTAAAAAGTACTGCCTATTTACTCTGAGTAGCAAGAAAGGAATGAATCCAACTCACTTTTGCAAAAATAATATAGGCTGGTATTTTTGCTAGTCCTATAAAAATCTTAATTAAATACAGGTTGACAAAGTGTAACAGTTTAAAAGTTCCCAAATTATATTTCCTAGTCATTAGAAATGAATTGCAACAACCAAATAATTGCTTTAATAAAAAACTCCAGACTAACCTCAACTCAAAACAGTTATTGGTCTTCTATGGCACTTTTTTCTGGTCCAAATAACCATGCATTAATTCTTACCACTGCATGTTACTCAAATTTTATTTGATTACATAGAACAAAAACAAATAAAATTAATGGTTTGGATAAACAACATTAATAAACCTATCATCAAACATCTGTTATAGTAATTAGGAACAAAGGCAGTTGGTAAAACATTATTACACTGATATACTCAGAAACCCTTTAATGACTCTGAAGTGTCGAGTTCACATTTAATGTTACCTGTAGGAACAGCCCTTTATTTGAACAACTTTACATACTGGTAGGCCTCAAGAACCCATCCCTTTGCTCTGTAGCTCTCCACAGCAATTCTCTATCACTATGCCAATTTCACAAACTTGCTTTGGTTTCCTAGCTCCATGCATACTGTTTCCTTTTACTTTACCAAGGCAATGCAAGTCCAAACAAAATCAAGAGGCTCTCCTAACTCTTCTTACATTTTGTGTTACAGGCAACGCATCTTAAAACTGGCCATTTTAGTTTCATTTGATGCTTAAAAATAAAATTATAAATCACATCAAAATGGAGTACTAATTAAAAAACAAATTGCAGTACCACCATTTGCAAAAAAATCAGGGGATTTCCATGGCACAGAAAAATGCATGGACATGCATCTACAGTATAGTTAAAAATTTCCCGTGTCTAAAAAATTAAAAATCGAATCACGAGTAGCAAATGTATAATCAGTGCCTATGACAAAAAACAGATCCTGTAGAGCTCATAATATGCAATTATTGTCTTTTTTTATTTAAAAACACATAACATTTTTTATTGCATTATTCTATTAATAAAAACACACCAACTGATAACTGTTCTTTTCATTCTCTGCTTCCAGATTTTTGTAGGAAATAATGTATTAATCTGGCCTTGGAAAGTGAACCCACCAGCACCACCTTCACGTACTCATTCTTCAAATCAATGTGCACATAGCAAAAGCCAACAATTCAAATCTCTTGCCCACATTAAAAAAAAAAAAGTAGTTTCAGCAGAAAAATATTAATACCAGTTGAATAAAAATAAGGGCATAAAAGCTATGAGATAGATAGCTTTGCCATCTGTCTCTAGGCTACAATCAAGGCTAAATATAGCTTTGCAGAGTTCAGTCATGTGTACAAAATCCAAAAATAAACCTACAATCCATACAAAAACAACACAGGTTTGTTTTGTAGCCTTGATTGCTATGTTTAAAAACCTACCAGAGCTTTATGGTATGAACAAAACAGTCCCCTCTATATTCTGTACAGTGGTTCTTTCCCTCTAACCACAAGTTCCATTATTCCATTAATGTACAAATTCCAACATAGTTTTTTTTAGTTCTTTATATATAAAAATAATCAAAATCTTAAATTCCCCTGCAAGTGTCTTCTAATCAATCTTGCTGTCTTTCCCCATTTTTGTCCACAGTGCTTATGAGGAAACCTCTCGTACAATGAAGAGTTCTACTGTGTTCTGGAAAGTTTTGAGCAAGGACACTGCTTGTCCATGTTCAATATTGATAAAACTGTAGCCATTAGCCTAAAAAAAGAAGAAAAAAATGCATTTAGGAAAAAAATTCATAATAATTTGCTGTGTGCACCTGAATTTCTGTCAGTTGGCTCCCAAACCTGGTAGAAAATAAGACTCACTTTGGAAATCCAAAACAACATATAGACTCCTGGGCCCTATCTAACATCTACGGAAATAAAATCTCTTTTAAGTTTGAGTCCTGTGTTGAAATCTCAGTCAAATTTTTTAAGTAGCAGCCCAATGTTAAGAGTCATTTGCTTAGGTCACAGTGCCAGGCATGGTAGGATGTGTGTGTGTATATGCTCATGTCCAACTGAGTCACCAACTTGCAATGGCCACAGAGGGCAAGGCCTAGCCTTCCCAATGCTTTGGAGCCATTAGATCAAGACCATTACACTTCTCAAAATTAAGGCTAACATTTAGAGGTCTTACTGTGTATTGGGCACAGTTCTAAAAACTTCACATGAATTAAATCCTATAATTCTCACAAATCTCAAAGATTATCATCTTAATTAGAGAAGAGAAAACTGAGGCAAGGGGAGCTATATTAATAGCTTCCCCATAATCACAAAACTGAAACCATAAATTCCCAGATAGTTTAGAAAAATAAAAGTGTACATGAGAGGGAAACAGGGAGAAAAGTGGGAAGAATGCATGCTAAAGACACTGTGACAAAATATAAGCAGTTGGGGACCAAATGAAGTATATATGGGTGTGTGTTGCATATATGTATGCAGTATATATGTGTCTGTGTAAGCTTGAAATTTTAAAGTCAAAAATCTATATACTTTATTTTACAATTGGCCTAACAGTGTAGTTCCTGAGGTCTTAAAAGCTTGATAGTGGTCATCCAAGATAAAAGAATTGCTTTCTATTTGTCTGGAGCTGAAGAAGAAGAATGAGATCCAGGAATCAGAGAGAAAACTGGACTGCAAGGTCTAGTTGCCTCAATGAACTACTGCGTCTTTTGCCATGAGACCAGGATTAACGGTGTCTGGCTACCATTATGGAATGTTTTGATCAAGGACTCAATAGATGAATCCAGATCAAAAGAGGGAAAATGCCGAACAGAAGTTAGTATTTCTCACTGCACCCAGACTTATTGGACTCACTGAGGCTAAGGGAATCCGAGTCTGTCACCCTGAGAAAATTTCTGAACCTTGAATCAAAACTATCCCCTCAAGTCATCTTCAAACTAAACAATTTAGCTTAATCTAGTGAAGAATTTTCACCTTAAGAATCATGCTCTTTTGAAGATTTACCTATATGAAATCAAACTGATAACTGTAACTCTAAAACACAGATGAGTAGTTTATGGAGCAATGAGTCTAAGTCAATGATGGTAAAATAACATGAAGAAAGATAGCAACAACAGTTTTACAATGTGAAGAATGTAACCAATGTTACTGAACTGTGTACATGTAGGAACTACTGAAAGGGTGTATAATCTGCTGTGTATATATTTTTTTTTTTCTCTCTCTCTCTCTCACACACACACCTCCTTTAAAAATGCTGCAGCCAAATTTTAAATTGTCTTGCTTCAAAGTCTGTGCTTTCAGCTATTGATCCCTGATGTCTTTGCCATTTTTTGGTTTGAGGGTTGTTTTTTTAAGATTATTTAATTTCTGAATGTTCAGTAACAACAATGAAGGTATGGGTAGAGAATAAGAGCTGTATTTGTGTCTTAGGCATTGTCTACCTGCTAAGACAGAACTACACAGTTTAGGCAGAATGAGTGGCTGAAAGAACAGAAGAAAGGAAAGGGGTATGGAAAATAAGAAGGGTTTCTTAGATTTCGGAATTCTTTTTTTTCCATTTCTAAGATGATGAGAGTTTTGCCTCCATGGAGTGGTGGTGCTCTGATCGTCCAAATTAGTACAAATTAATACTCAAAACTTAAACTTCAAATATATCAACATGATTTTCCAAGGTACAGGTGGGAAAATTTTAGACTACGAAAGCATTAAGTTAAAGCACTAGAGAGTACAAGAAATGCTACCATTTCTCTCTAGTAAAGTTTAAATATACATTACATAAAATGTCTATTTTCAGTTCTGGCATTTAATAAGTAATTACTCAAGGAGGAGGCAGATCTTGGAAAATGAAAAAGAAAAGAAGATTTTAAAAAAAGATTTTTCTTAATTACCTGAATAATTTTATCACCTGGTTGCAATAATTTTGATGCTGGTCCTTCAGGCTGTACCCTTGTTACAAATATACCCTTTAACAACAACACAAAAGGTAATTACATCACCAGAAACAGTATATATCAGTTAACAGAGAAACAAGGAGCAATCTTTCCTTCACATCATGCAAATGTTTGAATTGTAGTACAAAAGTTTTCTTCCTAGTATTCTATGTGACAATCAGAAGTTAGTTGTATCTTTGGTAATTCTGACTTTAGTACAGGCAGTCCCTGGGTTATGAAGATTTATCAACCACCCCTATTTGCCCTTTAATGTTATGAAAAAGTGCCCTCACTTTGAAATGTCTGAAACAACCTCTCCTTGCAACAGATTCTTCATCACAATCACCTTCACTTGGTGCATGTGCAGCTTTTTCTTGCACTAAAGTAAGGATAATTTAGAAATGTATGCACCTGTTCTAACTTAATTATAAATTCAACTTGAAGACACAGTTAGGATTTGATCTCATTTGCAGCCAAGGGACTGCCTACATATTGATTTCTGTTAAAAGTGATGAATTTACTTCTATAGTTACATGTGGAAAAGCAAAGTAACAAAACAAAAATCACATAAAAATCACATAATTAATAATAATTCAAAATTGTTGGTAAATTTTTTTTCCTTCAAACAATTAACTCAAACTCATCAAATTTCACAAAAAGCTAAATACAGAGGGAAAACAAAGAGATAATGTCTATGTAAATTTACATAAATGATTTGACTGTTTTCAGTTAAAATATAAAACATATTAAACTAGTAAATAAAACTGGGCAAGTATTTCAAGGATATATAAATAAAACTCACATCATCATCAGGTCTGAATGGGTTTCCTCTACCCCCAACACCTCCTGATATGCTAAATCCAAGTTCTGGATCCTTTTCAACCCTCACACGAATCTGAGTTAATATGAAAGTAAAATGAACTATCACTTTAAAAAAAACAAAAAACAACACAGCAACATTCATATTTAAATACTGGCTAATTAAGTCCAAGTAAACATAAATCTGTAAAGATTTATCTAAAATAAGTATTTGGGCAGATAAAGTGAAACTACAACACGGAATATTATGTTAATGAGTTAGTGAGTTAATGGCACAGCTGGGATTATAAAGCATAGCTCCTAACTTTATCTACTGCTTGTTTCATGAGGTTAAGCAATCAATTAAAGTCGAACCTATTATACTTTTTAGACATTATGGATTTTAATGACAGAGTATAAACATAAAACATGCACATTATCAGTTTCTATTTGTGGAACATCTAAATTACACAGTACCTCTCTTTACTGGCTTGTTACGTAAGAAATTTAAGAGATCCTTGGGTGGTTTTTATATATAATCTATCATTTTCCTGAACCTGATTATATTCTTCAAAGGAACTGGGAATTTTAGATCTGATATAATTTTTATAGCACAGCTAGGAAAATGATGCAAGAACTAAAAACTGTTTCAGACCACTCTTTCTCCCCAAAGACGTAACCAAAATTAGTATTTTTTTCTGTGAGTTTCTAATAACATTGGTCATTTTTCAATAAACTATCACACTATATGAATACATGACTAACAACTTTGAGTAATTTTTATATTTAATTCCCTAAGTGGTTTGGAGATTATAATCAAAGTTCAAAATCTGAGGAATCAACATTTTAGAGACAAATAACAACAAACCAAATGGGAAGGTTTGAGAACTAGAAGTAGTTTGGGAAAATAACTGCATTAGAAGAAAAAAAAGTCATGCCAAAAACATAAAAGGAAGGGATCACAGAGGCAAGTTAAATTACAAAGTTTTATATCTGAAAAACTTATTATATAAAACTTCAAACAAAATGGTAAAAATATGTTCATTAAAGTGCTTTATGGATTTATTGCCAATAATTAAATAACCTATAAAATAAAATTAAAAGCTTAGTCTCATATTTAAAATATTCTTGATTATTCTTACCTCTTGCTTTGCCAGTTCATGACCTTGTCTAGGAGAACAATGGGGCTGTGTGTATGGAGGCGGGTGGGCCACTTTCAGCATCAAGTAATCAATTAGTTGTTCTCTAGAGGGATGCCTTGCCACAGATGCCTGAGGAGGGGGGTGATGTATTTGACTATAATTTGCCTGAGGCCTGAGAGGCTGACCCATCTGTCCATTACTCAAAGGCATCTAAGAAAAACATGAAGTGTCTTAAAATGACCAGTAATAATGTTCTATTACAAATATTTGGATTTTCTTCCTGAAGCATTACAAAAGCACTAGAATTTAGCATTCTAAATCACACAATACCATCCCATTTATACTATCATTTCAGCTTTGAAAATTATACTTTAAAAGAAAAAAGCTAATATTGTCTTAATTTTAAACTTGCTGGAGTATTTGCTAATAATTTACTCTTTTCAAGCTTTCAAATGAAAGTAAATCTCATGTTCATTTTAAATGATCCATTTTGTTATATATAAAGGTACTTATTTTTCTTACACTAAGCTTTAAAAGGGAAAATATTTTTCACCAGTATGCTAGAACTTTACATAAATTCAATTAGAAGGGTATCTTTTCCCAATACAATCACACACACACACACAAACATAAAAAGTCCGTATGCTGATGCATCTAGAACAAAAGTAACTAATTTTGTCTCAGAATTTTTTTCTAATCAATGAGTATATTTTTCTACCTTTTTCCTTCTTTCCAGAATTAGCAAGCAACCAATTCAGCTAACTATGTAGTAGTAAATTAATTTCTCATATATATGAATTAACAATTTTTAACTCTCTAAATATTAATTTCATAGACTATTAACCACACATATTAAACTCTGACATTCTATGTTAGTCTTCACAAGCTAAACAAAAACTTGAGATGATTATTTTGTTGTTAAGAAATATCTTTGTTGTAAGGACTCCCAGTTTTAAGACACTGAACCTGAGTTTTAGACTTAAGCTGTGAGGCTAAGAGTTTATTTTGTCAGTGTGAGGAACCTATCTGAAAAAAATGAAAGGTTACAATCTTATTATATTTGCATATAAATATATTTTATATAGACTACTTACTGATTATTAATAAAAAGAGTATGTCCACATGGAAATTATACAAAAAATTGTGAGGGAGATATGTGAATCATTTTCCTAAAATTATTAAAAATTAGAAAAGGGAGAAAGATTACAGCAACAGTCAAAACTTCTTATATGAATCCTGCTGAAAAGTACAAAGTAGTCCAGCTTTGGTGAAACAGACTTTCTACTTTTTTTAAAAAAAGGGCTCTTTTTCATTGAGTTATATAAGAATGCAATTAATTCTGAAATCTGGGAACATACATATGCATTTTTACTCTGTAACAAATTTGTATGGATGGAGAAAATGAAAATTATAGATGCTATATTATCCCTGTATCTTTGAAAAAGCATTGTAGTTGGTTACTTGGACCACCGCAGATTTAAACAATTTATCTGCTTAGGAGTAAATAATTGGCTGGGCCTGTTAACTTTATCACTATGTACAATTTTGTAGACAGCACTTGCTTTTTCCTAAGAAAAATTTGCTACTCAAAAATTACTCCTGACCTAGTCTTAAGACTCCCCTGACACATGGATATCTGATCTTGTCTGACATTTTACATCAATGTAAATATACACATGGGCTATATTAAGATTCGCAGATGGCTCAGAAAAAGAAATGGCATAAAATAAATTCAATAACCTAAACCAAAAAATGTGTATTAGACAGAAAAGAAACCGGATGACAGTGCTCAATTAAAAATGGGGGGGAAGTGATATAAATAGATATGTATGAACTCATAAATTAGAGGGCTGGTGCCTACTCTCAAGAATAATGTGGAAGTTTTATATGATAAATAATCCTGCTTCATTTGTTTATACTAGGGGCACAGGATTAGTTAAGAAAAAGAGGAAGAACAGCTGAGGGAGGACAGTAGAGAATGATCTATCTGGGACTGGGGAGAGAAAAGTAAAACTTCATCTCTACATGAATGAAGCTCTTCAGGTATGTATTTCAAGGTGATTTAGAATTACATGTGAAGTATTTTTAAATGTCTTTAAAAACAGTAAAGGAGCTATGTTGGTGCAGTGGTTAAGTGCTGAGCTGTTAACTGAAAAAGGTTTATGGAAAAAAAAAGGTTTATGGTTCGACCCCAACTGCAGCTCCATGGGAGAAAGATGTGGCAATTTGCTTCTGTAAAGATTTACAACCTTGTAAACCCTATTGGGCAGTTCTACTCTGTCCTATAGGGTCTCTATGAGTTACAATCAACTTGACGGCAAAAGGTTTTTGGTTTCAATAATAGTAAACTACAAGACAAAGAACTTAAGACAGGTATAGTCTCAAATCTCCAATTACATTTACTCAGAGATGCCAAAAAGCCCCTAATTTAAATAAGTCCGTGGTACTACAGAACTCCAAATACAACAATAAAGTGATTCCCTAGTGTGGAAAAAAATCATGGAATAAACTATTCATGTTTTACTAACTATTTTTTAAAAAATGAGGAAAGCCCCCCAAAAAGTAATTTTTGGTGTTAAAATGTATGTGATATTTCTAGTTCAAAACCACACAAGATAATAAGCTCACAGGTACGACATCATTTATTTCCTGAGCACCTACTTTCATCAAGCTGTCTGGAGGAACATCTTTGTGACTAAGTGTAGCAGATGAGTAGTTCTGCTGTTCTGAAATGAATACATCATCTTGACAAGGATCTCCTGGACTGGATGTCTGGGGATTCTTCAAATAAAAAGTAAACAAATAACGCTCTTTAAGATGGGAAAACAAAATGATGATGACACTTGAAGGAAGTTTAGGAAAAAATATTGCTAGGTAGTGGAAAAGATGAAGACCCAAATCAACCATTACCATGATCTCTGTCATCAATATGAGTATCTTTAGCTTTCTTCCAAAGCTATGAAGCAAAATGCTTTTGTAATGCAAGAAAAGTTTATATAGACATATACTATTATCCTATTTTTTTATACTACATTCTTCTACATGCTTTTCTTTTTAATTTTATTTACAGTAATATCTAGCTTTAACTAATAAATTTAGTTATTAGAATAAAGAGCCTCAAATTACAAAAGCAACTAAAATATACTACAGTATATTTTATTTAAAAAGTTATTGGCAAAATATTTAATTGCTGTTCTTTAAATAGCACAATGCCACACAGCCATTTTTTTTAAATGATAAGCAGCTCCAATTAGTTTAAAGTTTACAAAATCTGTTTTAACTTAATCCTATCCCAATATTTTTGAAAAGAACCAGTCTGATGAAATGCTTTTAAAATTAACTATATTTTAAAAATGTCTTTTAATAATTAATTGAACCAGTAAAATACTTTTAATGATCTCTTTATACATATATATAGTTTACCTCATTGATAGTGTTGGGAAAATAGACCCAACACCTCATTATTCTGAACATCTTATAAATACACTAGGGACAAGACATCTATGTTTAGTTAGTTGCTACCTGAAAGCATGGCTTAGCATTTTTTTGGTAGTTTAATGTAATTTTGTATATTTCTGCAATGAATATTTCATTTTGCCTCTCTTTTATTGCATTAATCATTCAGAATATATAATAATCAACTAATTCACAGACTAAACTTTAACCTCAAGCTTGAGTGTACAACTATGTTTATCTAGTCTTTAAAAGAACACACATATAATTAATTAAAAAGTAAAATTAAATGGGACCAAAGACCCTAAATTTAAGAAAAGCAAGCAAAAAATGTTACCGTGTAAGAATTTTGGGGAAAGAATAATTGTCCCAGTTGACTGTGAATGCTAAGGATTACTCCTGAGTTAACAGAAGTCACTGGTTTTTACCTTGTGTCTTCTGTTGGTGTAAGTTGGTCAGCCCTATCGATAGTTACCCTACTCTCATTCTCTTTCAAACTGGGAAGTTTCAAAATGATTGCTGCCACTTTAACACAGCATAGAAATCAAGCAGTGGTAGGTGACAGAGGATAGGGCAAGACTAGCTGAGGTTCAGCCAGAGAAAAGTAAATCCAGCAGACTGCTCTTACTCTAGAACAAAATAAAGCAAAACTAGAGTTGTATTTTAAAAAGCAGGGATAGAGGCTCAAGAAAAGGTGAAGGACCCAGAAGTAAACAAAGAGTCAATATGGCAATAAAACTATAGGGAGGGGATTGAACAAGATTATAAAGGGAGAAAGACAGAAGGACAGGGCAGGACAAAATTTTGTTTAGAGGTCATGCTACTACTTGAAGTTGTTATGGAAAGAAAATCCTACAACAGAGCCATGTCAGAGTTGCTCTGTTCTTTCTCCTTCTCTGTCATTCTTATCCCCAATCTTTACCTTCCATAAAAGGAAAGCAAACAAACTTTTCTTCTTCACCATCAACTGGATTGCCACCACTAATCATACAACTACTGCTAAGGACAAAGGTAAAATGTATGTAAAGAAGAATTTTGGTTTTGCCTTATTACAATTTCTTCAGCCTTATATGAAATCATTCTCAGTGAATTTTGATTAAACTAACTTCCAGAAAGTGCTTTTTTATTAGCTAATATGCAATCATCTGAGTAAAAATTATTTCTCCCCCAAATCCCATTACGGATTACATAAGGCATAAACCTTAAAACCTCCTGCTATGGAGAACAATTCACTGATTTTAATATTAACAGAAAAACATTTTAAAGAATAATTAAAACAAATCTCTCAGTTATTTCTGTTGCTTCTTTTTGCATCCTTAGTTCATGATCAAAGAAATATTTTAAAATTTTATAAATAAGCCATGTAAGAAGTATGAGGAAATCAAGAGCTCTAATTCACAGTGAAAAGCTGTCTTCTAGAAGTGTTAAACCATTTAAAAAAAAAAAAAAAAAATATATATATATATATATATTTATCTCTTCTATGAACTAAGAGTACTGGTCTACTGTATACTGTAGGTACTCACTCGAAGAATGTGCCCACCAGAACCTCTTCCATCTGCAGTACTCAAGGCAAGACTGCCCTGGCTGCCATGTAGATCCCTAGAGCTGCCATAGTGAAAGCTGCTTACAGCAGTGAAATTGGAATTAAAGGACCTTGACAGCATGTTCTGAATAAAGAGGGGATAGATTTAACAGAGATTAGTGTAGCATGCAAAATTCACAAGACAGGTTGTTACGTAGACTCATTTACAAGTAACCCCAATATCATGCAGAAATATCATGCAACAATCAATTTTCAGTGCCCCACCGAAATTGGCACCATTTATCATATATTCATATGACAACTTACACAAAAACACATAAATTACATGTAAATACAACTATTCACATGTTTGGACACCAAGGAAGAAAATACAAACACATAGCTGCTTTTAAAAGCAATTTATGTCATACTCAGAAGATGTATGTCTATCTATATAAAGTCACACATGGAGGATACACTAATGTCTCTATATAAAGGCAAATTTTACCAACAACCAGTAGTTTCCTGAATAAAAATGAATTTCTGTAGAGTCCACTTTATTTTATAGAGATTACATCTATTCCTTACTATCTCCTTATTCAAAGTTTCACATTTATGAAAACAGTAAAAAATCTTGCACATTAACAACATATGTCTGGTACTAATGAAGGAGGTGAGAGTAACACCAGCTGGGCTACGATTCTTTGTGATTTGGCAGATCTGTAATGATGCAGTCATTCTCCATTTTTGCATTTCTGTATGATGGCCTCATCTTTGGAACTTAATCATGTAGGTAAGTGAGGACTGGGTGTAATACTATCTTATTATTAAATAAACTGATGTTTTAAACAAATACCAAACCAAAACCTTAATGCCACTGAGTCAATTCTGACTCACAGCGACCACCATTAGGTTTCCAAGGCTGTAAATTCTTACGGAAGCAGACTGCCTCATTTTTCTTTTGATGAGCTGCTGGTGGATTTTAAACACTGGTCTTTGGATTAGCAGCCAACTGCCTTATCCACTACACTACCAGAGATCCTTTTTAAACATATACACTATAGCACAAAATATATTTGTGAAAAACACCTGGCTTTTGGGCACTGCAATTTTTTCTTACAAAAAATATCTTCCACTAGAAAAAAACATCTTAAAGTTTAACATACACACAGTTTTAGGACATAACTAAAATATGGCTCCCCCTGCACTATACTGTAGAGGGGAGGAGAACATACATATGTAAGAATTCTTTCCTTTTCAAAAAATCAAATATTAAAGGATACCACACTCACTGTCATGTAGTCGATTCCAACTCATTGTGATCCCCACTGGTTTCCAAGGTGGTAAATCTTTACAGAAGTGGACTGTCCCATTTTCCTTATGTGGAGTGGCTGGTGAGTTTGAACTGCCAACATTCTGGTTAGTAGTGAAATAAATACCTTAGGCACTGCGCCACCAGAGCTCCATACCATATTTTAGAAATTAATGCTATTTTAGATCACCTCATATGCATGTGAAAGTTGGACAACAAATAAGGAAGACCAAAGAAGAGTTGATGCTTGTGAATTGTGGTGTTGAAGAAGAATACTGAAAGTACTATGGACTGCCAGAAGAACTAACAAATCTGTCCTTGAAGAAGTACAGCCAGAATGCTCCTTGGAAGGAAGAATGGACAGACTCGTCTGCCCTACTTTGATCATGTTGTCAGAAGAGACCATTCCCTGGAAAAGAATATCATGCTTGGTAAAGAGAAGAGTCAACAAAAAAGGGGAAGGCCCTCAACAAGATGGATTGACAGACAGAGTAGCTGTAATGATGGGCTCAGGTACAGCAAGGATTGTGAGGCTGGCACAGGACCAGGCAGTGTTTCATTCTATTGTACACAGGGTCACTATAAGTCATTGTAGACTCGATGGCACCTAACAACTGAAAATAATATAATAGCTCTCTGTGAGAGTCAAAAAACATGATGTTGATTATATCTGACTTGAATTTAGAGACCATCTGAAGAACAGATTTGACACTGTGAACACCAATGGCTAAAGATCAGACAAGTTTTAGGACATCAAGAACATCATACATTAAGAAAGCAAATGGTCATTAAACAGAAACAAATAAAAGACCAAAACAGATGTCAGAAGAGACTCTGAAGCTTGTTCTTGAATGGAGAGTAGCTAAAGTGAATGGAAGAAGTGACATAAGAAAAGAGCTGAAAAGATATCAAAGAGCACCTCCAGAAGACAAAGTAAAGTACTATAATGAAATATGCAAAGACCTGGAGTTAGAAATCCAAAAAGGAAGAATACACTCAGCATTTCTCTAGCTGAAAGAACTGAAGAAAAAATTCAAGTCTCAAGTTGCAATAATGAAGGATTCTATCTGCAAAATACTGAATAATTCAGGAAGCATCAAAAGAAGATGGAAGGAATATACAGAGTCACTCTATCAAAAAGAACTGGGTTGATGTTCAACTATTTCAGTAAGTTTCACATGATCAAAAATTAATGGTATTGAAGGAAGAAGTCCAAGCTACACTGAAAGCACTGGCATAAAACAAGGCTCTGGGGATAGACAGAATACCCAATGAGATGTTTCAACAAATGGAAGTAGTACTGGAGATGTTTATTTGTTTATGCCAAGAAATCTAGAACACAGCTATCTGACCAATGGAGTGGAAGAAATTGGTTTCTGTGCCCATTTCAAAGAAAAGTGATCCAAAACAAAGTAGAAATTACTGAACAGTGTCATTAATATCACACCCAACTAAAATCTTACTGAAGATAATTTAAAAATGTTTGTAACTTCCGGTAAGATGAAGGAATAGGCACAGACCCTCTTCAACAAAGAAAAGAAAAACCAATTGACAGAGATACAGAAGATAATCCTGGAGCCCTGAGCTTCGAAAAAGTATACAGAAGCAGATTAGGCACCAACTAGTGCAAGAATCTGAATGAAAACAGTGAGTATGGAAATGGATGGAGCTGAGGACTATCAGCTACTCTGACAACACCAACAGCCTGGATATTTCCCAGTGGTGTTGGGACCTGAGAATTGACCTAAAGATATAGGGTATAGGGATGACTGTGCTGGTGGCCAATGACTAGGAAGAGAAAGAGCAAAAAGGGAGACAACTTGAGTTGTGGCGTTGGGATGTCTGGAGGGTGCAACCATTTTGATAGCAGTGACAAGTAGTGGTCATTTTGGATATTTGGAATCTCATTTGGATTCCAGGGACTTAAAAGAATAGGCTCCACTTGCCAAGGACAGAAGGGGCACAGGTGAGGCTGACACAAGAAAGGAGACAGATGGTGAGTATATAAGTGCTGCCAACTAGTGAATAGAGGAGCACAGTAACTGCTTACTTAGATAACATCCAAACATAACAAAGAAAATGAAAATCTTGGGCAAATCACTCCAACATACAATCACCAATTAAATATAAACACAAAAAAGTCACAATGTCTCGAAGACAACAGTGCATCACAGTCCATACAAGGAAACAAGATAAAGCAGGAGAAACAAGGGATCAAGATACAAATCCAGAAAACACATCCCTGAGGAAGCAGCAGCATTGGAACTCCACGATAAGGAATTCGAAAGAATTATATTAATGTGTCTTCAATGAATTAAGAGACAGATCAAGGAAAACACTGACAAAATTGAGGAAAACACGGAGAAAACCCTAGAATGACTGTGAAAGACAATTCAAGAACAAAATGACAAAATAAATGAAACATCAGAAATGACACAAAATCTACAGATAGAAATCCAGAAGGTTAATACTAAATTTTCAGAAATAGATAACACACTGATTGGGCAAAGGACTAGAATTGAATCAATGGAAGTCAGACTGAGGACAAATACCTGAATACTTCTTTGGAAAGGGATCAATCTGAAAAAAAAATCAAAACAAAATGAAGAAAGCTAAGGTTCATGTGGGATTCTATCAAAAGGAATAACCTACATGTAACTGAAATTCCAGAAAAGGAAGAGAGAAATAAAACCACAGAAAAAATTGTCTAAAATTTGTTGGAAGAGAATTTCCCTGGTATAATGAAAGATGAGAATGTATCCATTCAAGAACTCCAATTAACTCCAAACAGGACAGACCCCAAAAGAAAATCACCAAGACATGTATCATCTAACTTACCAAAACTAAAGACAAAGAATGAATCCTGGAAGCAGCACGGGAAAAACGAATAGTTACCTACAGGGGGCAACCAATAACACTAAATTCGGATTTCTTGGCAGAAACCGTGCAGGTGAGAAGACAATGTGATGGGATATATAAAACCCTGAAAGAAAAAAATTCCAACCAAGAATTACACACAGAGTCAAAATATTTGACTGTCTGTCAAATATGATGGTGATATTTGGACACTTCAAGATAAGCAGAAATTAAGGACATTTGTTGAAACTACACCAATATTACCAGAGATGCTAAAGGGAATCTGTTGGACAGAGAACTAACAACTACCAACCATTAATACATATGATGACATAACCCAGAAACCAACCCAGTTAGAGAAGTATCCAAAGTAAATAAGCCTAAAGATTGTAAACAGGGAACCAGAGACATCAATTGACAAATGAGGACAACTAAAAACCAAAAAGAGGGAAAAAAATGTGAAGTTACAGAACTTCTAAATGGTAGGGAAGTCAAGATAACTGGAAGATAAGAATGGACTGTACTAAAACTTGGAAAAAAAGAAAATTATAAATCATAGCGTAATCTCAAAGAAAAATGATGTATCTTCACATCAAAATAAAAATGAGGACAGGAACAAATATTTAACAAATACTAAAACAATAGCACCGAAGTAAGTGATAACATGATTCATAAATAAAATGAGCTCAGGACACAAAATAATACGGAACAAAGAAATCAGCATCACCACGAAAAAGTACTTAACAAAATGACAGCAAAAAATTCATACTTGTTGATAATTACACTGAATGTCAATGGATTAAATGCACCATTCAAGAGATAGAGAGTTGCAGACTGGTTAAGAAAACTTAACCTTTCAATATGCCATCTACAGGAGACACACCTTAAGAGAATAAAAGGTTGGAAAAAGATATATTGAGCAAATGGCAACCATAAAAGAGCAGGTGTGGCAATATTAATTTCTGATCAAACTGACT